ACGTAAATGATAAATTTATCGTAACACAGTATCTAAGTCAGATGTTAGAATTGTCCTCCGGAGACCATTACAGGCAAGAAGTATTTGAAACTCAACTTAAATCAAGAATTCGAAAAACCCGGCGAGAAAATTCGAATCGGAAGTTAAAAGGCTAGTGAGTTTGACGGTTCCTGCAGCTAGGGAAAACATGCTGGCATGGATGGCAGTATCTGCGTTCATTGATGGTCTCAGAGATTCCAAGATCCAGGATAACCTGAAAATGACTAAGTTGAGAAAAAGGAGCGAAGCCCTCGTACGAGCAGTGTCCATTGAAGATGCAAAGGATAAACAATCCTAAAAAGAGGATGGTAGTTTCGAGAATGTTATGAGTAATTTCATGATGGAAATGAAGAAACTATTACTAGGAGGTAGAAAAACGGGAAACGATTCCAGACAAACAACGAGATACCGAGTAGAATGCTACCGGTGCCATAAACTTGGATATATGCAATGGTATTGTAGAGTAAGAATGTCGTCTCCATCTAGCGATGGCTCCCAATGCTTCTCAAGATCAAGATCTATAGACGCCAGCCCTAATAACAGACAGGTACCAACCAGTACGGAGGGGCAAATGCTGGTTATTAATGACGAAGCCCCCAGGGGTGGTCACGTGAAATCATTGGGCAGTCATTATAGAGGATTACAATACGAAGGACAAATTATTGGAGGATTTAAAACCATCAATTTTGATACGGGTGCTGAAGTTTCTATAATCAGAAAAACAATAGTCAAGTCAAAAACAAAGTCTCGGGAAATCCAACCGCTCACTAAAGTTCATTCCACAAAACGAGATAGTAGAGGTAAACAAACAGGCGGAGCTTAAAAATTCAGAGAAGGACTACAAAAATATGAATTAAAACTAATGACATTTAATATTATCAGGTTGTCATATGAGTCAATAAGTTTAATGTCGTATTTCCTCTAGTATTTTACAATTATTTAAATAGTGTTTGGTGAATTATTGTTAATTAGTGAGTAATTTATATTAAAACAATATCAATTTCAACAGATTACGCTGAAGAATTCGTTCAGAAATATATTCAGAGAAGAGAAATACAAAACAACCTAAGACGGTCCTGCCTAGGGCGGAGTATAATCGTTTTCTAGCCAATAAAATTCGACTTACCTGTCAAAGTTTGTTTACTTCCACTATCTCGTTTCGTGAAATGAACTTTAGAAACCTGTTACTACGAACAGTCACGGTCGAATCGGCACTAGTTCAAGGAGAAGCTATGCTTGGGCTTATTTTTTGATCTGCCACCTTCAGGCACAGAACATTAGTCGCCGGTATAGATGATTTTATTTTGGGAATGGATTTGATCGGCCAACAGGGTTTCTCTTTCGATCCTTCTATGAATGTCCTAAAATTTGGTAATGAAGGATTTGTCCTAACTACACAAGAATAATCTCAAGCCGTCGAGATCCTGGCCACAAACCCGATGAGGATTCCTGGAAATACTGAGTAGATCATTTGCGGAAAATTGGAAACAAACCCTTGGTGCTGCGTTGGATTTCACATCATTTTATTGGATATAAACCAGAAAAATTTCTCGTTGGAAATACTCTAGTATGAACAAATGGAGACATTATGATAAGAATTGCCAATGCGATATTTCCTAAAACCGAAATTGGATACGGACAGCTTCATGCAGACTTTGGAGAAGTCATGGAAACACCTCGATCCAGATAGACTTCAAGAAGCCACAATCTTGAAAGAAGTAGACGTATTTGTGATGGATAATCAAACTGGACAGACCAGTTTAATTCAACACAAAATTGATAATGGATTGGCACACCCCATTAGACAACCACCTCGACGTATTCCAGTAGCTAAACAACAGGAAGTGGTAAACCAAATTGATAAAATGCTCCAAGAGCCTCAAGAGGGAATTATTGAAAAGTCGGATAGTCCATGGCCTGCGCCAGTAGTATTGGTTACAAAGAAAGATGGAAGTCTTAGATTTTGTGTAAACTACCGTGAGCTTAATGACGTCACCTAGAAGGATAGCTTCACTATTTCGAGGATAGACGATACATTGATAACTATATCGGGCTTCAAATGGTTTTCCACCTTCGATCTTAAGAGTTGATACTGGCAAGTGGCAATACACAAAGATGACAAAGAGAAAACTGCCTCCAGTACCGAAAGCGGGTTATACCAGTTTAACGTAATGCTCTTCGGATTGTGTAATGCTCCAACTACGTTTGAGCAACTGATGCAGCTTGTTTTGCGAGGTCTTACATGGATAACTTGCCTGGTATATTTGGATTATGTCAAGATCATGGGAAATTCATTCCAAGAACATCTCAATGGCCTGAAAAAAGTTTTTGGCCGCTCCGGAATGCCAACTTAAAACTCAATTAAAATAAGTGTTTTCTATTTCAAAAGAAAGTGGAATTCTCAGGTCACGTGATATCTAAAGATGGCATACAAGTTATGGAAGGAAAGATAGATGCTGTCAGGGACTGGCCAAAACCATGCGACAAACATGAACTAAGGAGTTTTCTAGGATTATGTTCTTATTATCGAAGATTTGTGGACGGATTCGCTAATATAGATGCTCCGCTTCATCGATTAACAGAAGAAAAATCAACATTCAATTGGACCCAAGAATGCGATTCCGCATTTAGAAAATTGAAAGGAGCATTATGTACGAGCCCAGTGTTGTCCTATCCCGATCAGAAGGGCATGTTGATTTTGGACACATATACAAACAACACCAGTATTGGAACGGTAATTTCACAAATTCAAAATTCACAAGAGCATGTCGAAGAGTACTACAGCAAAACCTTATCAAAGCCAGAACGAAATTAATGTTTCACCAGAAGAGAGTTGCTCGCCATAGTAAAAGCAGTCGTTCCATAAGTATCTCTACGGACGTAAGCATTCAATTCGAATGGATCACGCAGCTCTAAAATGGCTTCTAGAAATGAAGACTCTCGAAGGACAGCTTGCTAGATGGATTGAGAAATTGCAGCAATACTATTTCCAAATTAAACATCGACCTGGAAACCTGCATGAAAATGCTGACGCCCTGTCTAGACGTCCATGCAAAGACTGCAAGCTTTGTCAAAGAATCGTATGCATGAGAAAAACACTGGTTCGGCTGTGAGAAGAACGGGTCTTATCGTTGATGATGAATGGACTACCAAACAAATGAGAGCAGATCAAGTAGCAGACCAGAACATCGGGCAATTTCTACATCTTAAAGAAAATGATGAATGTAGGTAGGCCAGAATAGAGGGAAGTTCGAACAAGAGTTTGATTTAAAAGGCGTAGAAAATGTTAACTGAAAAGAATTTGGGAGAGTGCCGATGGAAAATCTACTAAGAGTCAACTGGTTATTCCAAAAGATCGAATAAAAGATGTATAAAAAGAAATACATGACGGAACTTCAGGGGCACATTTTGGAGTTATCAAGACTTTGGACAAAATTCGGGAATGTTTTTACTGGGTTCACTATCATGAAGACGTTAAAAACTGGTGTCGCAAATGCGACATCTGTGCTACTAGTAAAGGCCCTAAACTAAGATCTCGGGGGCCCGTGAAACAGTACAACATTGGTCTCCCATTCGTAAGAATGGCGATAGATGTTGCCGGACCGTTCCCTGAGTCAGAGTGTGGTAAGGTAAGTAACATCTTGGTTATGATGGATTACTTCAGTAAATGCCCAGAAGTTTTCGCTATTCCCAATCAAGAAACCATCATTATTGCCCAGGTGCTAGTGGACAAGGTTTTAGTCGTCATGGTGTGCGACTAGAATTGCATTCAGATCAGGAACGAAACTTCGAATTTCCCAACTTTACGTGAGACACGGACAACACCTTTACATCCGCAGTCTGATGACATGGTGGAACGATTTAATAAGACCATGAGGAGCACCTGACAAAAGTGGTCGCAAAGAACCAGCGAGATTGGGACAAGCCCTTGCATCTATTTTCAATGGCTTACAGAGCCAACAGGTGACTTACGAGTCAACAGGTGAAAGTCCAACTAGAATCGTTTTTGGAAGGGAACTCAGGGCTGGAACTCTGTAACGGATAGCGATCAATATCTCTATCTCTAGTGGCGTCCCCTCTCTATTGATTTCGATAAGAGAGAAGAAGACAGCAAGTGCCATAGCGATAGGGATAACGATCTCTATCCGTTACAGAGTTCCAGCCCAGGTTACCTTGCGATCTGATGTTTGGAATACCCGAAGAAGAACGAGAAGAAATTCGAGAATATGCCGACGACGTAAGGGCACAACTTCTAAGGATACCTACATGATTTAGCTCGGGTGCATATTCAGCTGGCGAGTGACCGAATGAAGACCAGATACAACTTGAAAGCCAATTCAGCCGAATTTTGAGGTGATTTAGTGTGGCTGTATAATCCAGCAAGAAAGAAAGGAATGTCGAAATTGTCTTCAGCATGGGAAGGACCCTACAGAATAATCAAGAGGATTGGTTTATTGAATTCAGCGGTACACCAGGAGTGAGATGAAAGTTGTACATTTGGACAGACTGACGAAAAATCATGGGCGCGAAGTTGATCGGGACGATCAACCTTAAGAGAAGGGCAGTGTCGCGAATATCTGGCAAATGCGCCAGGATGTACAGAATTGGACAGCGGAATCTAGATTTTGAAGTGCTATTCGGGAAAAAGGGCTGTCACGTTTATTCTGGATTTTACAAGAATAGATTACGGATATATTAAGGCCGGTATTAGTTAGTAGTTTTAAGTTTAAGATTGGCTGTGATATGATTTATATAGTGAATATTGTAAAGTTGTAAAGAGTTAAGTTGTTTGAGTGAAGTAATCAGTGTCAGAGTGTATAGTAACGTGGAATAAATTATCGTTGTGGTAATTGGACTTTGAATTTGAAATAAACGGACACAAGATTTCTGTCACGCACCTCAGAGCCATGACAATATCATCCTTGCCTTGATAATTTTTCTATCAATAATTTACATTTCAGTGGACGGTCAATTCAAATACAGGTTTTCATATAAACTGGAAAAAAAAGCCGGTGAGGACTATGCAGTAATCCAAGACAATGATTCCCTGGAGCTCAAAATTACCAAATCGTATTTCAAATTGGATAATTTGTTCAACGGCAATAAATTGATGGGTAATTTTATATTAAATATTTTGGATAAAATATAATTTTTGTTCAACTTTCAGGAGATAACGTCAATAAATTCTTAAATGAAAATGATCAAGATATTATTAAAGAAATTGGCGCGACTATAAAAGCAGTTATCTCATCAATTACACGAACTACGGGAGGAGGAGTCTTATCAGCAATCCCTTTCAATGAATTATTTTTACCATAGGACCTAATAGGTCTTATTAGAAGATACTTACTTTAAAAAGTTTTTTCTTCAAAGACGGTTTGCATTATTTATACATTAAAAATAAAAATAATTGTTGATAATAAATATATTAATAAAAACGGACAATGTTTTGTCCGTTGAAAAATCCTTTCTTTTTGACATAAATATTTATTAAAAACCACCCCCATTTTTCTCTGACACATCCTCATCAGCTGGTGCCAATTCCTTGATATTCTTCTTGAATTGGATCAAAAATTCCAATTCCTTTTTGAGCTGATGATGAAAGTAGTCTTCGGTCATCTGACACTTCCGGTACATCCTGAAGGCTAATTCTAAAATGAACCAATCAAAGCCAAGATTGCACCTACAAATAGGACAAAAAAAACTCCGCCGACATTTTGAAGATCCAGGGGTGTAGCTTCAGATTGCTTTTTTTTAGAATATACAAAAAAAAATATAAATTTATGGAACTGGCATTTTTATTTTCAAGGTGAAGTAGAGTAGGTAGATATAGTTATAATCCCATGCGCAAAGTAGTACTTTCTCGCACGTTGGAAAATCTGTCATTTTGTGTCAAAGTCGACAGGTGCACTTATTATTGCTTGACAATTGGTTTGACTTTTTAGCACTCAGTGCGGATTGGCTGGCGCTCACGTTCGCGCTACAGAAATATTATCATAATTCCATCGTTTGAACAGCGTTTGCGGAAAAAATCGCATGTTTTATTAGGAGAATAGTATATTGTCGACCTAGGCGGTAAAGTGACATTTCTCCAGGGTGAAAGAAGAAATGTACGAAATGCAAACACTTCTTGAAGCCTGAAAAAAACACTTTACCGGCCAGGTTAACACTTTATTTTTCTTCCGACGCCACATAATTTCAGCTAATAGCATGTTTTTTTTTTTATATTCTTTGACTTTTTATTGGATTTGATTTCAGTGATTTTGACATCAAATACAAGTTCAAACTTTTATAACGCCCTCGTTTTATGACAAATATTGCATGGCACACTTGTCTGTTAACTTTTTGCAGAAATCTATATTAGATGGTAATTTTCATTTAAAAAATTAGTTCATGAATATCTTCTGCTACTATAATTTTATTGGGTAGATAATAAATCGCAGCAAAATTTACTTCTTTTTAAATGTATTATGTGGCGCCCTCTATTAGAAAAAGTAAAAAATAATTTTCTTGCCTAGCCATTTTCGAATGTTTTCCATTAAGTGCTACGGGGCGCTTTAAAATTGCTTTTGTTAATTTATCCGCCATAATTTTAAGAACAGTGGGCAATTTTAATAATAATTATCTTTTGACTGAAAAAAATAATAATATCCTAGCGAAATAAATCCTAAATACACAAATAAAAACCGATATGAGATGATAATGATGTGAAAATGTAAACACCGGCCACATAGCCTATGCGTGTATTCAGTACTCAAACAATAAACAATAAATTGTAGTATTAATTATGCAAAACTGAATGAAATTGTTAACAGTTTTACCCAAAAAAAAAATCAAAAATATTGAGACAATTGGTCGCAGAAATAAATTGCCAAAATATTTTTATCAATACTGGCTCGTTGGTGACAAAGGAATTTGAGGTATTTATTGAACTATAAATAAATTCTAAAAAACTAGAATAAATTATTCTTTATCCGGCTCGAAGGACCCAAATGTGCAGGAAATATGCAAATATTAAGTGGACTGTATAATCGGTAATAATTGGTGTAATCAAATCGATCGCGATATGCACAAAATTTGATTTTAATAATTACTCACTCACCTATCTTGAAGTGTATCACTAAATTCTTGAATAAGAGGGCCATCTGGAATACTTCCTCTGGGTTACTCAATCCATCCAGCACAATAGTTGAGTTGGTAAAGTTTTTTCAATAATTTCGAAAATTCGAAAACCGAAAGTTGTTTTGTCACCACAAATTAAAGTTATGACAAAAGGTAAGGGTAAGAAAAGTTGCATGCCCTTTCACACGCGACGGTACTCTCTGGTGCGTTGTCGGACGGGTTCAATCGCAGTGGTTTTACTATTTTTAGGACCCGTATGTAGTACCGAAAAGATACATGTTTTGCGCTGGTGACGCATGTGAGTTTTACCATTCAAACCTGTGCATATTATCAAAAATAATCAAGGCTATGCGCGCGAATAATAATCTTCAAATCCAAAAATATTGTCACCAACGATAAGATGCCAAATTTAGTTAAACCAACGTTAATTAATAATTAATTACACGCTTACATTAATCTAATAAAGATTCTTCATCATTCTCCCCACCAAAACGAATGTTTTTAACCAAGAGGAGAAAGAGAAAAACAAAAAAAAAATAAGAAGAAATAAACATTAAATAAAATTAGTACTCCGGTCAATTTAAACATGCAAGGTTACGAAAATTCCCATAGAGCTGAAAATTGGTATGAACATTCGGAACACCATTAAAAATAAATGCTAAAAAGTCCCCATCGATCTCGTATCTGGAAATTTTTTTATTGAAGGTTAATGGTCTCAATAATGGGTTTTTCGCGTTTTTCAGCAAAACGGTAAGTTTTATCATTTCAAACAATTAGGTCAGACAAAAATTGTAGATCATATTTATTTTTAAAAATTGTCTCAATACTTTTTTTCCTAAAAGCCACCGATTATGAGATATAACGATTCTAAAAGTTGAAAAAGTTGTTATCTTCATAATATGCACACGTTTCCACGCCACTAAAGCGCGCTTTTTTTGCGTCATACTGTACTGTTATCTTACTACAACATGAGCGAAATTGAAACTGCAAATGTACATTTAACGGCTGCTGGACGTTATTTATTCGCCGGCCGGTTAAAATATAAATAACGGCCATCGGCCGTTATTTTCAAACATACCCCTATAGGAGAGTCTGCAGTATGACGAAAAATTTAGAATGAAACACGGCCGATAACTGCAAATAATAGCCTTGGCTGATTATATTACTCAAAATCCTCGGAATCCCGCCTCGGATCACAAACCTCAGCCCGGCCGGTATTTGGCTATTTACGGACCTTAAAACGTGAATAACTATGACGTGGTTTTCCGGTAGGCCTATTCCGCGGCCTATTAGGATCGTGTGAATTTAAAACTATTGAAAAATAAAAAATAATAGTATTGGGAGTGAGGAAAGCGGTATAAATTTTAAAAAATTGGAGACAATTATTCGTCAGATTCATAATCGGCTAATACTTCTGCTTCCTCTTCATCTTGTTCTTATTCTTCTTGCTGGGTGCAAGTAAATTGCCTCAATAGCATCGAATGTCTCCTCGTTGGTATCATACGAATCCTCTTCTGTTGCTAATTCAACATTGGAGCACGACTGGCCTTGAAAACTAGTGCATGCAAGAGAACAAAATAATCCAACTTTTTTGCAGCCGTATCTAGCACTACATCCCCTTTAACAATTGCAAAAAATTGTGTTAAGCAGTTTTTCCGGCGCAGATGAGAATAAAGTTTGGACTGGTTCCAATATATTGTCGTCTGTTGATCATCTTCCAACCACAGTCTTTTGGATCTAGTTGATAACCAAGCCACACTTGAACTTGATAGTATACTCACACACTGCACATGTATTGTCACATCACAGATTTTTGATTTTTCAGATATTCCAAGAATTTATCAGCTCTTTCAGTACTTGCATTGATTAATGTCTTCATGCCACGATCAACAGTAACAGTTCCACTCTCTTCCTTTTGGCCTGACATGCTTTTTATTTGATTAGTTTTTTAGAAGTTGATCCGGATTATAGGTAATTGGTAAAGCTTATATCTATGTATATCTAGGATATTCCTACAAACTAAATTTTTAGGTCCACTTGTATTAGTTTCCAGGTAGTGGACAAATTTTGATTACCGGGCGTTGAAAAATACTATGGTTGGTTTTTATAGTAACCACTCTGATAACGTCATCAGTCCCGGGATGCAAATCTAAAATTCGTCCTAACTCCCAATGAAGCGGACTTCTGTGTTCATTTTTGATAAGGACTAAATCGCCTTTAGCAATAGCAGATGAGGGATCAGTCCATTTATGCCGTTCTTGCAGATAGTGAATTGTTGGGACCACTGGTTCCAAAAATCTGCCTGCATTCGTTGAATCAGTTGCCAGCGAGATAATCGATTCAAGGGTGCGTGGTTTAAGTCAGGGTCAGGAAAAGGGCTATTTAAAGGCTCCAACACCAGAAAATGCACTGGAGTTAACGGGTGCAAGTCGTTCGGACATAGGCGGTGCTAGGTGGAGGCTTGGGGGGACTAAGCCCCCCCCTCAAATCTGGAAATAGCCCCCCCAAATTTGTATTAGTGATGAGTGGCAAAAGTTCGCAGTCCCTGAATAAACAATATTCAAGCGTTAGGATTAATTAACTACATAATTTCAATAATCTCACTGATTTAATACCTTTATCTCATTTTGACGTTTAAAAATGGCATTATTGAACGCATAACAATAAAGGTAAGTAGACGTTTATCACCTCAGTGATTTAATTTTTTTTTTTAACTCACTCTGCTCAACTAAAAATCTGACACCCCAGTGATTTAAAATATTTTTAACTCACTCTCGGCATTTTTCCTTTTACCTTGTTTTTTAAATTTCCACAAAATGGGATAAAATTTTGTATACATCACATGAGTTAAAATATTTATTCATTCGAAAAAAATTAAATTCTTCTCATGAATAAACATTCATTTAACTCACTTGGTGTATAAATAACTATTCATTTGCTTGAAATTTAACGAACATATGGGTTTGATGGGTTTATTTGTTTGAGAGGTTTATTTTCAATAAAACTCGATGGGTATGATTTATTTTGAAGTGAAAAAAAACTTCTTAGGCGGCGATCTGATAATTGGACGAGAATGGAGAGTGATTTGAAAGACGCGTCACGTTTTGAGAAAGTTCGTTACGCAGGAAAACAGCTTATAATAATGACAGCTGACGAACAATTTACACAAACCAAAGATTATATGCAAGGAGGATTGCCTATTATTGTCAAGCGCCGATACCCTTGTGACGTCACTACAGATGCGTGACTTTCTTTTGTGTTCCTTTCCGTCATTACCCTGATTCCGACGCTGTCTAAAAGTTGTATGAGGGCGGATAGTTTTTAAGAAGTTTCACTTCTAACACACCGCACACATGGTAGCGGCGGCCCTGTTCCCACCTGTATATTACATAATAAGTTTCACCAACCTATTTAAAAATTATATTTGGTATCTTTGTATCTACTTACTTCGCCAATGTTAAAATAATGATTACCTTTGGTTGTTCAACTTAATATGCTGTTTTGTATTTTGTTGAATCTTGTGGATGACCCTATGTGGATCGAAACGTCGAATAAAACCAAAATTTGATTCTCCATGAGCATAATTTTTTTGATCTAAATATATGCAATCATCCGTTCTAAAGTTTTTTATGGCTGGATTTTTGTGAAATTCCGGTTTTATTCAGGATTTTTGCTCATTATTCCCAACTTCAAATCTATACATATAAAAATCAATGTTCGAGGGGTATCCGGATATGCGCTCCTACACCACTTATCCGATTACGATGAAACTCTGGTAGGTTGTTATGGCCATCCCAAGGAAGGCTTGTGGATAGGTTACGCATCTCGGAAAAAGAAATTAATTTTGAATTAATTATTAATTTAATTGTAAACAAACTCATTCACATCAAATAACAACATAACCCAACTTTTTTTTGACAGCATGAAACAACGTTGCCATATTTCATTTATTTAGGCTTGCCATTCAACATTCAACCGACGTACCTTTATTATTTTTTGAATTCAAGAACGGCGGGGCCGATCTTGGATTTAATACCACGTATCTCTATATAAGCTGAATTGGATTGACCAAGATTAGATCGATTTGGGTTCAATTTAAGTGAACTTCTTCTGATCTAGATCATTTTTTTGTTGATGAGGGTGCACTGATCCAGCCTCAATCGTACACAGTGTGGTTCACCTAAATTGAACCAGATTGATCTAATCCGGTCAATCGAATTCGGCTATAGAGGAGAGTGATATAGGTTATTTTTTATTCCGAAAAAAAAGTTCGGTTGCGCGAAATTCTGATACACTGGAATGCCTATAAACAGCCCGGGGCGCTCTAGAGCAGCTCTGGAGTGCCTAAAATGCGTCACTGAACTCGCTGGCAAGCGACTCTGGTATCGGATAAAAAAAAAAATTAAATAGAAAATCAACAACAAAATTTGAAAAAAAGTTTATTATCTCAAAATGTATTTTCACGCTGGCAACGCAGCGGGTCATTAGCTAGTTAACATAAAACTGAAACTTTTACCGTTAGAAAGGTCTCCAACGAAATATCGTAAAACTTTCCAATAGAAATGTGCAAAGGTTTTTGAGACCTTATAATGCACATTACGATATTTTTGCGTACGTCCTCAGGATATTCGGTCCAGTTCAAATTGAACCAAAAATTGCCGATTTCGAGACCTCTCTGAGTCAATATGTTGGAGCTGTAGCAATAAATGTAAACCCTGCTGAGGTGAAATACGACAAATTGACTGAGGAGAAGCACTTGAGCCAGGCTTAGATTTTTCTGGAATTATCGAAATGAAAGATTTTGGAAGGCTAAAATTTTTAAATTCAACTTACCACGATAAGAAAAACTATTGTTGCCGTTTGAATGGAATTAGGCTCAAAATCCAGTAGTAGTATGTTTTTGAAACTGTCATTCAATTGCAATACGTAGCTGAAAATAAGTACACATAACTGTAACAGGCCTCCACAAACATCAATTTTGCGAGTAAGGCGCCAAATGTATCTTGAACTTAAAGCTTGAGAATTTTTAAATACCCACCTAGCAATATCTCTATGCCACTGTATGTTTTCCTTTTGCATCTTGATGTAAGAGTCCTTCAGAGTCGTTCCATGCGTAGCTGAGTACTCGAGAGTATACAGGGTGTATCAGGTATGAGCAGTGTTGCCACAAGCTTTTTCTTTATTGGGGCAGATTACGGCAAGATAGCGGAGTAGAATAGAATCAGTGCAGGGTAGCTACAAAAATTTCGGCTCTGGAACGAAAGAGCGCTGCTGGGTTAGATTGGGTTATTTTGTATTCATTTTCTGATTGAGTAATTTGACGAAATTAAGCAACAGAGATATTGGGTCGCATTCCGAGGACGGGTTAGTTTGGGTTAGATTGGGTTATTTTGTATTCATTTTCTGTTTGAGCAATTTGATGAAAATCGGAAACAGAGATTGGGTCGCATTCCGAGGATGGGCCAGTTTGGGTTACTCTTTGGTTACTCTTTTGTTACAGCGCTCTTTTGTGCAGCGCTATTTTGTTACAGCGCTCTTTTGTGCAGCGCTCTTTTGTTACAGCGCCCTTTTGTTACAGCGCTCTTTTGTGCAGCGCTCTTTTGTTACAGCGCCCTTTTGTTACAGCGCTCTTTTGTGCAGCGCTGTTTTGTTACAGCGCTCTTTTGTTACAGCGCTCTTTTGTTACAGCGCTCTTTTGTTACAGCGCTCTTTTGTGCAGTGCTCTTTTGTGCAGCGCTCTTTTGTTACAGCGCTCTTTTGTGCAGCGCTCTTTTGTTACAGCGCTCTTTTGTTACAGCGCTCTTTTGTTACAGCGCTCTTTTGTTACAGCGCTCTTTTGTGCAGTGCTCTTTTGTGCAGCGCTCTTTTGTTACAGCGCTCTTTTGTTACAGCGCTCTTTTGTTACAGCGCTCTTTTGTTACAGCGCTCTTTTGTGCAGCGCTGTTTTGTGCAGCGCTTTTTTGTTACAGCGCTGTTTTGTTACAGCGCTCTTTTGTTACAGCGCTCTTTTGTAACAGCGCTCTTTTGTGCAGCGCTCTTTCATTACAGAGCCAAAAATTTCACCTACGAGCGTGCAAAAATTAGCATTTCACCGCACACTATGCGCTAGTGTTACTGCGTTAAAATAACCTGCGAAGTGTGCAGTATTTACTTCACCGCATAGTGTGCGCTAAAGCATACTACTTCGCTAATGATATAGCTAAAATTTTATAACACATGCGTTTTTGACGCTGTTAGGTAAATAACTATAATCTTTTTACATATTTTTCTGCATCAATTACCACACAAATTCAAAAGAGATACTCAAAGGAATCTCTAACTGAAGTTATATCTTAGGCGTACAACGCGTTTCATAGGTAGGTACCTACAGTTCAGATACAATACATTGTTTCTCATAATTTGGATTTTGTACGTATTTTATACATTAGCGCTAAGCAGAAGCTTCTTTTTGTGCTATAGCATACCTAGATTATATTTCGAGCGGGGTAGATTTACGTTAAGGGGAGCGGAAAGGGCGAGATTGTTTTAAAAGAGGTAGATCTACCCGAACGGGGTAGCTTTGGTACACATGGGTATGAGTACCAAATATTTCAACATAAGCTACTATGGCCCATTTCAAGCTAAACGGTCCTATTACACATGGGTAATTGTTAGTATTTTCGGAGTTATCGCCGCAATTTCAACTTACGAGAACTGATAACAGAGTGACAATTGTACAGTTATTATCTCGGCCAAGATATAACAATGTAAATACAACTGATAACATTTTACAACAGTTTTTTTTTTGCACGGAGTTTATTTATTTCATCTGTTTATAGTCGAGGGCGAGGACTTTTTTTTCAAATCATTAATAACAGCTAGTTTTTTCAATGCAGTTTCTTTCACCGAGACGCCCAACTTTTTTCTGAACGAAATTGTGAAAACGGGTAGCTAACATACTGCGCAGGTTACAACATGTCGATTAGGTGACAATAAACATTTAATCATACAGTTCGTATTTTCAGCTAACTGTTGAGCCTCCACTTTTATGATTACTTTGAAACACCTTTGTCGACAAAATCAAGGGTTCGGTCTACGATGTCCCCCTCAAACATGTAGCATTACGTTGCATACAAACTTATTACATAACAGTTGATTTTTTTCAATGTAGGTTGGTAAATATTATTGAATTACAATGGTCACACTGTCCTACAAATAAACAGGTCGCTATTTCAGTCCTCTACTCAACAGTTGTCGATTTCACGATTTAACTTTTTTCATTAATCACGGCTAAATCTTCGTGAGCATCTTCATTTGATAAGAGCCCACATTATCTTTTGCCAACATTCACAAACAGGTCAGGTAGCTAACAGAGTGCGCAGGTGGAAACAATGTCTATTTGGTGATCATACCAATGTACATTCATAACAGTTAATTATGAAGCGAATGTTGAGCTAGATATCCTACTACTATGAAACCACCATTGTCGCCTAACAACATTTGTCCGACAAAATAAATGGTTTGATCTAGGCTGTCTCCCTTCTCAAACATGTAGCAGATACGTTATATAAAAATGATTTATAAAAAGTTGATTTTTTTAATGTAGCTTAGTAAATATTACTACAATTAAATGGTTACACTGTCCTACAAATAAAGAGGTACCAGTCCTACACTCAAAAGTTGTCGACTTCACGGTAATACTTCATTCATCAATCACCGGCTAAATCTTCTCGAGCATCTTCGTATTGATAATACGCCTAACTTTTCTAATGCGAAAAGTTGCAAAAGTAGTAGTAGTCTAGGAAAATTGTCGATTTTCAAAAAAAAAAAATCCTACCCAAAAGAACTTTCCAGGGATGATAGGGGGAGGGTGAGGGATCATAAAACGGAAAATATCAAACATTCACCCCTATGGCGTTTTGCGCTATAGGGGTTGAAAGTGCGCCATTGGCAATTACTTGGTACCTATTGATTTTACAAAAAAAATGTTTCATATAAAAGATGTGCAACATTATTTGATCTACAATGTTTATATAAAGACTTTTTTGATTAAGGGCCGTCTGTGGTCATAAGGGCCATTTGAAATTTAATAATGAAAATGAAAAATTTTAACCAACGTGAAAAAATTTTCTACAACTCATACAACATTTATGCTTTATGAAGTTTTTACTCACCCCCTGCCGTTTTTCAATAGGGGTAGTTTAAAGTTTTTTTATTTTTTTACAAAAAAAAATTCTTAATGAAAGTTTTATAAAATGACATTTCCTACAATTTTTCCTAATCAACTTTTTTTGTAACTCACCCCCAGTCAGCGGAAGGAAATTTTAGTTTTTAGGGGTATATATTAATTTTTTTTTCTTTTCTCGCCTTTAGTGCATATAAAAAGTTGCAATTAACATTGTATTGAAAGGTTTTTTTTTTTCACCACCTTTTTGTTTTTAGGGGTAGTTCGCCTATTTTCAACTTTACAAAAAAAAATTATTAAGAAAACTTGTTCATTTTATTATTTTGAGCAACTTTTCTCTATAACTTTTTTTTGTAGAGTTGAAAATAGGCGAACTACCCCTAAAAACAAAAAGGTGGTGGAAAAAAAATCCTTTTAATACAATGTTAATTGCATCTTTTTATATGCACTAAAGGCGAGAAAAGAAAAAAAAAAATATATATACCCCTAAAAACTAAAATTTCCCTAAGGGAAGTGTCCTCCCGCTGAATGGGGGTGAGTTACAAAAAAAGTTGATTGGGAAAAATTGTAGGAAATGTAATCTTATAAAACTTTTTTAAGGAAATTTTTTTGTGAAAAAATAAATAAACTTTAAACCACCCCTATTGAAAAACGGCAGGGGGTGAGTAAAAACTTCATAAAGCAAAAATGTTGTATGTGTTGTAGAAAAATATTTCACGTTGGTTAAAATTCTTCATTTTCATTATAAAATTTCAAACGGCCCTTATGACCACAGACGGCCTCAATCAAAAAAGTCTTTAGATAAACATTGTAGTTCAAATAATGTTGCACATCTTTTATTTGAAACATTTTTTTGTAAAATCAATAGGTACCAAGTAATCGCCAATGGCGCACTTTCAACCCCTATAGCGCAAAACGCCAGAGGGGTGAATGTTTGATTTTTTCAGTTTTATGATCACCCACCCGCCCCCTATCATCCCTGAAAAGTTCATTTGGGTAGGAATTTTTTTTTTGCAATACTTGTATTTTTCGACTATTTTCCTAGACTATAGCTACTAAAGTGAGCACTAGTGAGCAGATGTAAAATACCTTGATTAGGGGATTATGCAAATGTAATTATTAATAGTTAACAGTTAATTTTTCAGGTGAATAATGAGATAATTTTATAAATAATTCGAAATTCGATTTGAGCCTCAAAATAAATGGTTTGGTCTGCAGTGTCCCCTTTCTCAATAATGTAGCAATTACTGGCTCATAAAAAACGATTTATAAGCAGTTGATTTTTTTACTGCAGTTTGGTGAATATAACTACAATTATACATTGTCTTAAAGAAGTAAGATTTCTCAGCCCTACATTCGAGAATTTCGAAAATAGCCTTATGCATATTATACGTAAATATGTACAGGGCTTTCATTTCAAAACTTGCCATCCACGTTATCTGCGTAAAGAGACAGATTTCTAGAAAAAAAGATTAAATTCAAGAATTCTACCTTTTGTATTTTAAAAAATATATTTATTAAAATATTTGATTTTTGATATTATTTGAAATGAACATATCTCTTCTATTTTTGAGCTGTCGAGAAAATATTATTTGGAAAACTCCTGTATTTTTTAAGTTCCACGTCATTTAAAAAGGAAAACCCCAACTTAGAAAACACCCTGTATATAGGGTGATTCAAAAAAGCGCGCCAGATTTAATACATTAAAAAAGGAGCTCAATTTTTTTAAATATCTTTAGAATTAAGATGAACCGGTTGGATCAAACCTTCTCAATTTAGGTATGGAAAATGACAAAGGGCATGGCCCCCTCTACTTTGATGGCATGCCAAAACTCTCTTTCGAGCAATTCAAATCTGGCACGCTTTTTAAATCACCCTATACTACGATACTGTGTTATTTACGAGCATGCGCGTCAATTCGTGTGTGTACATACACATAACACATATACTGTTATACACGCATCTGTGTACGTACATGTACAGGGTGTCCGAATTT